GGCTGAAGGCCAGTTGAACTGATCCCTAAAGTATTCTGCCCATCGATCCAATCTCCTGGATTGAGAATGAATAATATGTCCATCTTTCTCTGAGATTGTTTCGCTAATAGTCGGGTTCCTAATTCCGGTTTCCTTAACGAGTCTAAACAATTGTCTGCTATTACCTATTGCCGTTGCCTTTTCCATCTCTCTTGCTTTCGCTACCCACCACTGTTCGCGATCATTGCGTAGACTTCTTGTCAGTTTGCGCTTAAGCTGACTCCGCTCTTCACTATGTTCAGAGCCAGGTGGAATGAGTTTCCGAGCTTCTATCAGTGCGATAGATGCTGCTGAGATCCAGTGTTGCTCCCTAACCTTGTGGTTTACCTTACTAACAGATATCACTGCTGTTTCCACAGCTTTTCGGATATCATTCCATGCTGCCTCGGGGTGGGCATCACATACATGACTTCCTAACTGTTTTCCTAGTTGCTCCTGAAATATACTCTTAGCTTGACTATCATTAAGTAGGCCCCTAAGAGGTTTCCTTGCAGCGTTTTTCCTACGTCCAGTAAGACGCAGGCAAATACGCGCTCGTACTAGAGCATGATCTGAATCTAGGCATGTGCTCCAGAATGAGCGACAGTCTTCTATCGAGCCCCTCCATCGGTGGCTGATAGCGATGTGATCTATTTGGGTCCAACGTTGGGACGAATTAGGGGGTCGCCATGTTAAAAGATGTTTTTCCTTATGCTTAAAGTTAGTATTTGCAAGGAACAGGCGGTTATCTGAGCATAGCTGCAACAGACGGTCGCCATTATCTGTTCTTTGAGCCATGACACTATAAGATCCACCCAGGTGTCTTTCCCTATCGCTTAGTTTACCTACTTGAGCATTAAAGTCACCGGCCACTATTACTACATCCGAGCGCTTAGCTTTTCGGAGAAGGTCCGAAAGCTTTCTGTAAAACTCATCTTTTACATCATCTGAGCTGCAGTCAGTGGGAGAATAGGCAGAGACGACGAAGAGGCAACGACGAGTGTCCCTATCTTTCCGGATTCTTACTGTTCCGTTCAGTCGGACAGCGCACAAACGACTGTCTACTGGGATCCACTCTAAGAGAGCTAGTTCTGCCCTAGGACTCAATGCTATACCTACGCCGGCGAGGCCACGGGAAGCAGAATCAGGGCTTCCAGATACACGAAGCGTAAATCGAGTCGGTTCTTTATTTTGGCATGGTGAGGTCAAATGAATGATGCTACTTGGATCCTGTATGCGCGTTTCGGAGACGCAGCACACATCAATGGCGCGAGATTCTAAAGTCCTAGCTAAGGAAGCCTGCTGTCCTATTTGGCACAGTGTTCGTACGTTAAAAGCTCCTACGTGTAGTTTAGAGCGTGGTTTCAGGAGACCAGGAATAGCGTTCCACGTACTCGAATCGTTTGCCCTAGCGGTGCGAGGTGATAAAGAGACGTGAGGAGGGTTAGTCATGGAGATAAGAGAGGCATTAGGTGTAGGAAGGATTTGAATGTGACCAACTTGGTCTCGCGTGCTGTTACGGGTATGAGGGCTGATGTCACTTCCCGGCTGCCCACACCGTGGAAGGGTATTTCTTGAGGAACCTGAAAAGGAAATTGGATTAGTGTTGGTCTTAACGACCTGGGAGCGTGACCGCAGAGCCCAAGGGACAACTGCTTGAGGCCGGTCGCGCACGGCCTTTTTGTAGAAGGTTTTTGACGTGTTAGCTCCGTTCTTCAGATGGCCTTACCGCCGGAGACGGAAATCCGTGAGGTAAGGTGAGGTGTGACATTTTTAGGGTCGACCTTTTCTAACCCCACCCCTCCTTGTGGGAAGGCAGCATCGCTGTCATGCTGATCGTCCGAAGGAAACACCTTACTGCTGTCACACCTCTGTACAGTCAGCAGTACGACTTCGCCCTCAGACTTTGAGTTGCTGCTTTTAGTCTTACCGTTCACCAATCGACCTGCCTGGCATGGTAGAACCTACAGGAACACATGTTCCAGCCAATATAGCTCGGATGGGTCATCACGATAGGCAAGCCCGACCACCACGTCAAGGTAGCAGCTTCGGTCGGGCGGTGGAGTGGTAGCTAGCCCAGAGGCTAGCTCGGTTCTATACTTATTTGCAACAGAAGTTGCAACCAGCTTGCTAATATCAATCCTTTGCTGGCGGTCACTTCGTTGTCCACTGAAAAGTAAGGCAAGATTGGCGCAGACCAAGGCATGGTCAGAGTCCAGATAGATACTCCAAAAGGAGCGACAGTCTTTTACACAACCACGCCAGCGGTAGCTGATCGCGATGTGATCAATCTGTGTCCAGGCTTGGGATGCAGAGGGAGGACGCCAGGTGGCACATCGGCGATGACTGTGCCGAAAGTTAGTGCTAGCCAGAAACAGGTTGTGGTTTGTGCACAGTTGCAGTAGACGGTCCCCGTTATCTATCCTGCGACCAACGAGTCCCCATCGGCCTCCTAAACGACTCTCTTCTGTGCCTAGACGCCCGACCTGAGCATTCAATTCGCTGGCTAGTACTACAATATCTGTCGAACGCACTTTCTGGAGAAGAACAGTTAACTGGTGGTAGAATTCATCCTTGATTGCATCCGGGCTGCAATCTGTCGGGGCATAGGCGGAGATGACGAAAAGACATCGTTTCTCACGCCGATTTCTTCTCACTTTGATAGAACTTTCTAATCTAACAGCACATAACCGACTGTTAATGGGGATCCAATCGATTAGTGCTGCCTCAGCTCTAGCGTTTAGTACGATACCAACGCCAGCAGGACCAGACGAAGATGCCACAGGGTCCCGGGATAAGCGCACGTAAAACAAGCTTTTCGAAGCGACAGATGGAGAGCGAATTTGTAGTACTTCACCAGAGCCTTGAATACGCGTATCGAATAAACAACAAACGTCGATATTAAGACTTTCCAAAGACATAGCCAGCCCTATCTGTTGTCCGACCTGCATAAGTGTGCGGACGTTGAAGGTAGCTAGTTTTGATGGTGCAAGTGGTTTCAGAAAACCTGCTTCAGTATTCGTATTTGGTGGTAGCATACAATTTTCAACAAGGCAGTGACTCGAGAACGTTTAGATAGAACCGAGTTTCCACCATAGACGAGCTGATGTATAAGTCTAAAAATAAGGATAGTCAGAGTGGGAATAAAAGAGAATGAATAAATGACATAAATTATAATAATAATAATAATAATAAATGTGAATCGTTTGATTGTTAATCGAAACAAGACAAGTATTTTCCATAAATATCGACAGTTCATCGTATTTGTGTGGGGGCTGTGATACTGCCCGGGTGCCCAGACCGAACCACGTGGTTTTCTTAGGGGGCTACACTCTGAGCCTTTGACCTAAAGGTCTGATTCACAAGGCAGTGGAGCAACGTAAGGAGATGCAGTCTCATGGTAGCCGATTGGTTCATGCGCCATTTGTTCCCGCAGGATACTAGCGCCCATGTACATCATTGGTTTGGGACATTCGCTTTTCGTCCTCTCACTTTTGTAAACAACACCCTCGCCACGAGAAGGCAGTGAGTGGGACTTCCCTGACAGAGGTTGTATACACGTGGCCATGTGAGATCATTTCGAGAGGAAGGGAGGGCTCATCCCACTCTCGGCCATACCAGGGCATTTGGGGGCCACTGGAAAATGATTACATGAAATACAAAAATTAAGATTTTCGACTATTTATGCAATTTTCTGAATACCTTTGAAATCGACAACATGACGAGTAACTTAATCAATGTTCTCGCAACTCGAGAAAAGACATCCTAGTTTCTACTGCAACTTTTCACTGTCAGTTAGTTTAGTGCAAACTTCTAAGGGTATTTAGGAAAAATACTGTGACCCAAAATCACCTGGTTGTTATAAATTAACAGAACTACAGGAATGATTTGGGGCAGTAAAGCATTTCCATAAATTTTAAACTTTACAGAATACCATATTTAGTGTGTTGTTTCTTCCTTTCTTAGTAGTGAAGTTGATATCTTTTGTTAACAAAAAAGCTTAATTCCAAGTAGCGATTATCAAGGACTGTTTAGGACGCCGCGATTATGAAGCTGTTAAAATATTTTTATTAAAAGCCTACGTAAGATACATCAGTAGCAAATTCCAAAATAGAATATCAAGGAAACATTAATAGTCGGCAATTATTCCCAACTGCTATTATTTGTCAGTTGGTGGATGGGGTAGGCTTTAGTACAATCATTACTGAGATATATATTGTAGTTCCACCACTAGGTTAGGTGATAAAAACTGACAAAATACTTTGATGAATTTAGACTATTGACAGAGATCACTCAGTAGATCGTTATTCATTCGCAACTCCGTCATAAACAACGGAACACAAAATAAACAGAAATAAGCCACAGGTATTTATTTATGTCTTACTCCCATGTAATTAAACTATTGAATATAAAATACCTTCCATGGACTGGAATAGTTCGGAAATGAACATGCTCGTTGGTATAGAAGTCTATTGAAAAATGATAGGAACGACTAGACCAAGACAAAGCAAGCAAACATAGGTTTGTTACATCGACTTAAAACGCCTATTGCTTTAGCTTATGAGAAAGTCAAATGCATAACAATAATATTATAAATATGAGGCGAACTTACAAATACATGGATATTAATGTCAAATTAGAATTAAAACAAACGAAATACTTAACAGACGATATATAGCATGATTATATATTTAGTGGGTTTACACACAATCCTTAATAATACGAATGAAAAACCAGTCTTTATCAACCATGTGAATATTCAGCAGTGTTGAGATGGAATTTCCCCTTAAGTATTATGGCCCTAAGTACTTAGTACAGTGTTTCGTTAAGTTATCTCAACCTTTTACAACTCGGTATAGGAAATCCAAGCCCGAATAAATGGATGTTGACTTTTGAATGTCTTGAGAATATCATATCAAATCGGCATTTTAAGGAAAAATCAAAGTGGAATAACAAGAAAATGAATCTAGTTCCAAACTTACTGTTAATATGTGAATGATCACTCGAGTAAATATGCATGAAGTAGGATAAAACCAGTAAAAGTATCAATGTTACAATAATTCCCAAGCCAATTAGTAACGCAGATAACGCTCGTTGACGAGGAATAACTTCCCGTCTGTAGATCATCGCTGAGCTTGATGGAGGTTGAAAATCAGACCAATGAGACTCCACAAGAGACTCTTTTTCTTGAGCCATTAGAAAACAATTAATGTATACTGAGTATTCAGGATGAAGATATATACATATAACTCCAAATTCGTTAGCCTTGTGATCCGATATCCAATATTTTGGTCAAGATTTTGCATAAACCGATTGATTTCTTTGCTCTTGCTATATGTAGATTATTTTTTGGCCCGGGAGATATCTTCGGACTCGCGTTTCGTTTGAAATTTAGGTGAATCAAACAATGTGCGAACGGATAGTACTCACTGTTTGAACTTGGAACTACACCACGAAACTTCTCGAAAGACCTAGCGGAAATTAATTGCGCGCAAAGTACCAACTGGTTTAGATCTTTTCGGTTACGAGGTTCGGACTGAGCGCGTCCCTTTAAGTAGAAAACTTTGATCGCATTGCTTTAATTCCATTTCGCTCACCAAAAGTCACTCACCATATTTCAATTGAAGGCTTTTCGGTCGATATCTGTCTGCTTTTTGGTGTTTTAGAAATGGTTTTCTCACTTGTGTTTTTCTGTTGTTTTGCATAAGCGTCTTTCTGTATAGTCGTCTTCAGAAGAAGGTTTCAGTATTCCTACATGTTTTTGTTAGTTATAAGTGTCTCGCCACCTATGACATCTTATATAGTGAATGTGGTAAAGAACATAATAAAACCTGCACCCAACGCGCGCTTTTCGAACAGAAAGCTTAGTCCTATCGTGATTTGCATTTATCAAACTTTTGCTGTGTTCTTACGCAACAAAAGTATCATTTCTGTCCAACAGAATCTATCCTGAGCTATACGTTCGGTAGATTATTTTTTGAGTTTCACTCCATTTAATAGTTAACTGTGGTTTTGCCTCAGCTTACTATTCGGTTTTTTTCCAGTTTTTCATGTTAAGACTAGTTCAGTTTATCTCATCCGTTTTATCCATTTTTGTCCGTTTTCAGTGTGCTTTTAAGTGTATTTTTTTACGGTCATAGTCTTTTGCTACCATCTACACAGTTTACGTCATTATAGTCATGAAAAATTCATGCAAACGACCTGGATGCCGTTTTGCTGTTACATCTGGCATGCAGTGCGACAACTCCAAAGGTTGGTTCCACGGAGCATGCACAGACCCCACAGCAATTGCTTGTAACAGACTCAGCAAGTCGGATTATAATTTGGAATGCGTTACGTGCAGCACGGATGCCGCAGTCTTGCTGAGTAATATCACTGTTCTACTGACAGGTCTGCAGAGTAAGTTGTCGGCAAACTTAGGAAAAGACAGTCAAAAAATGGGTAGAAAAACAAGATAGCTCATTAAAAACGAAAACGGGCATGTCGACAGGTCTACCAACGACAGAGAAAGCAACAGCATCAATGATGACACGCTGAAACTCAGCACCATGATTACGACGACGGTACTCGACACCCTCAGCAAACTTGAGTCTCACAGCTCAAGGTCCTTGAACGCGACAGTGGTTCCCAAAAGCTCTGTAGGTGATTGGACCCATGTTAAAAGAGCTACAAAGGGCCAGGCGTCACAATCTAAGTTGAACATCTCAGCTGTTGAACGGAAGTCAGTTGGTGATCTGGTCGCACAGTCAACCCCCGAAATTGTCTGTCTTCAACTTTATCGATGACTTAGGATTGTACGAAAATGTGAGGTCGGCAACTCGTTGGAGAAACAATCAGACGCCATGGCGCTTAGACTGTGTATTCACAAACGAAGAATTTCTAGTTGACAACCTCTCAATCTTGGCTCACCTGGGAAAAAGTGATCATGTCATCATAGCCTTCAGTTTTGTCAGCAAACTTAAAGTAAGATACCCCACCAATATTTCGAGTTGGAACTTTAAACAGTTGAATGTGCCAGCTCTACACGACTATCTGCAACAGGTGGTTTGGGATGTTCATCCCCAACTTGACGTGGACGGGCATTAAGACTTCTTACTGCACACGCTCTTACATGCTACAAACCATTCAGTTCCTCAAACGGTTCCCAAAAGCCGAAAGCCACCTACAATAATCAAGAACCGTACCCTTCGCCTGCTAAGCCGCAAAAGGCACCGTTGGGCGGAATACAAACGAACTGACAAGGACGGAGCGTACAGGCAATATAAACATATCAGGAACATATGCACGAAGGCTTCATTATCAGGCAAAGCTTATGGAAAAACTTGCCTCTAATCCTAAAAGCTTATTCCGTCATGCAGCCTCTCTTCGTCAAGCCAAAAGAGGAGTTTTTCAACTGGTAGGTCTTAACGGCTCGACCAACAACGGTGGCGACGCCGCTAAGCTTCTGGTTGAACATTACTCCCAGACATTTCAACCGACTGACATTAACTTTACTGATGACAGTTTCGTTTGCGATTCCACAGGACTTTCCGAAGTGAACCTAAGCGCTGACTTGGTGTTCCGGAAACTGCAGCACTTAAGATTAGACACTTCTCCTGGCCCGGACATGGTCCATTCCGCTATACTGAGGGAAGCAGCCTCAATCTTAGCAATGCCGCTTAGCATGATGTTCTCATACTCGCTAAGTCAAGGAAAACTACCGGAAAATTAGGAGCTGGCTCACAACGCACCAATTTTCAAAGGAGGTCGACGCAGCAAACCTTCAAGTTACCGACCGGTGACTCTTCTCTCCATACCCTCAAAAATCATGGAGTCTTTGATATGTGATGGTATAAACGACTATTTACTGTCCTTAAATTTCTTCTCACCCCAACAGCACGGTTTCAGGAAGGGTTACTCTTGTATTACCAATCTGCTGACTGTGGTGGACAGATGGACAAGCACCCTTGATCACAAGGGGAAGGTTGATATCATCTACCTAGATTTCTCAAAAGCTTTTGATAAGGTTAACCATACATGTCTTATCAATAAGCTCAAACGATTGGGAATCAGATCACGTCTAATCGATTGGCTCACTTCATACCTGAAAAATCGACACTTTAAAGTCAGGGTTAATTTCACTTTCGCTCAGGCTATGGAATGTCCTAGTGAGGCCACAGATGGCTCAGTACTAGGACCTTATCTCTTCTTAATCTACATAAATGATCTTCCTCAACAGGTAACGTCAGACTCATTACTTTTTGCCGACGACGTGAAACTTTGGAGAGAGATACGCAACCAAGACGATATACGGACACTTCAGGAGGATCTGATTCGACTTCAAAGTTGGGCAGATGATAACGGACTTACCATTAACACTTCAAAGTGTAAAGTAGTCTATCTGCGACATGTCGCAGAATACAGTTATAAATTAGGTAACTCCTCTCTAGTAGTATCTCAAGTCGAAAAAGATTTAGGAGTCCTGGTGCCTCATGATTTAAAGTCTTACGCTAACTGTGACAAAAATGCCTTCCGAGCAAACCTGGCACTGGTAACATTGGAGCGCATTTTTGGCCAGTTAGACGGAAGAACTTTCCATTTAATCTTCAATAGTTTTATCCATCCCCATTTAAAGTACGGAAACATAGTATTTCCCCCCTCACTCCAAAAGGATAAGGACACCCTGGAGCTTATTCAACGGCGAGCCACGAAATCAGTTCGATGACTCAAATTTAAACATTACGAAGAGCGCCTCCACTTACTTAACCTTTACCCATTAGAGTATAGACGTCTTAGAGGTGACCTTTTGACTGCTCATAGTATCCTTAACACTTCTGGACATCCTCTTAAACACCTACTCAAGCTTAGTTCCAACACTAACCTAAGGGGTAAAACCCAAAAACTGGAGACACAACATAGCAGAACGGAGTGCAGACAACTTCTACTCATTAAGAGTTGTCAAATGCTGGAATTCGCTGCCGGCCGAGCTAGTCCTAGCGACTTCCCATGAGTCCTTTAAGAGGAAACTTGATCTATTCCTAAGGACTAAGGATAGTATCGCACTATGATCTATCAATTTCCTTTCCTGTTTTATTGTTAACATACCTAGGTTCCTGCCTGGAGGATTTGATGATCCCCTACTACTAGACACGGAAGCCTGTTAAGTGAAAGCTTCTTCTATTCCGTCAACAACCATTTGAACCATTTTGACTGAGTCCTAATGCCTTTAAACAGTGTCTCAATTCACAGACATGGAAGCAGTTTAAAATGTGCTGTCCTACAAAGTCTCTTAAGATTCAAAATTCGATAGACGTACTGAAAATAACTTTAACGTGACTCGAAGAAACGAGGAGACACTTTACAAAAAACAGGACTTTCGAAGCAGACGATCCCGGATTTGTGGCCGGAAGACACCCTAGTCACGTATATTTCATGATCTTGTTGCTCCAAACAGGCAAAAGAAGAAACGAAATGAAGAAGCAGAATAGAGATGGCCAGCACCCCAACTTTTATGCTACTAGTTGCACCCCGAAATAGACGATAGGTAATGTATCACAGGGACAGACAGTGAATGAAATGACGAGTGAAAGACAAACACACACAACTACACACAGAGTGCATAGGCGTGGAAATACATGGACATATAAATAAAACGCGGATTGTGCTAAAGGTAACAATTTACCATAAAAACAATAATTTTATGAAGCTGGAAACGTATCAATAATCACATGCCGTCTGAGATAATGTCTGCTCAAAAGTTAATATGAATCATATGGGTTGCTATTGGTACCATACAACACACAGATCAGAAGCATGACAAACGAAATTCGGTTGATAACTATCGTGATTTGTAGGATTGAAAGATTAAACTTAACAGATTGCAACTTTATTATGAACTTGAAAGACACCTTATCCATAGGCTCTTCTGAGAAAATGGTACATAACGTGCAGTTTGGTGCTGTCAAATGCAAGACATCAGACTGCTTGCGGTCCACATTAACCTGGTGTAAAACGAATGATTTACGTATCGAAAAACTGTATTTGTTGTAAAATAAGCTCAGAAATCGAGTGGTGGGTGACGTGAATGCAATCCCTATTACTAGAACAGACAAAAGGAGGAAAGTATAATCAAACTTGTTTGATTTAAGGCTGTTAAAAGCATTGATGTAGTTAGTTCTATTCAGTCACATCAAGGATCTCAGTCAACATAAATACCAACAATATTCGACAATCCTGGGGTTAATATTTAATTATAAAGTCGGTTTTAGACAAAACAGTTACTTGCCACATGCAAGGAGGATTGACCATTCTCTCAGGCTCATCGTTGCTATAATCTGCCGAACAGACATTTTGACTCATGCCGAAACATAGATGCTCGAACTAATGTTAATTAACTCCATGTACAACATCGATTACTACACAGTTAATTCGGAAGCAGCAATTACAGCAACGTGGAGACAATTCTGCCCTCAAATTCCCTGGTACGGCCGAGAGTGAGGAGAGTCCGCTCTCTCTCTCGAAATGCTCTCACACGGCCACGTGTATATAGCCTCTGTCAGGGAAGT